AGATTCTATTATAATTATACCCGTTACCCGTAAATTAAAAGGGTATCATGTATTTTTCAAAAAGTATGTAACAGGGGCACAGAGAAAATAATCAAGAGTTTTAGTTGCAAAATCAGGGATGAAACATTTTAAATATTAAATCGATTCATACAAATTTTATTTTACTTTAATTTTTTAAACGTTTTTACTGGAAAACGGCACCTAGAACGTCGTATAATTTTCTATGTGTAGAAGAAATTTTTTAAATCGGACCATTTATTAAAAAGTTATGAGCAAAAAAAGAAAGTAATGAAATTTAAGCAGTGCACTATTGCATGCATGTCTGCATCTCTCTTGTACTTCCTTATACCTGATACCTGAGTAACAGGTAGGAGTATAGTCGACTATAATGTTCTCTTTTATTTTTTTTTTTATTCCTTTCAAAGCTATAGTAAAAGATCCGCTTTCCGAAGCTTCAACTTTAATTCCGTGAAAGCGTTTTGCTCCTCTTGGCTTTTTGTCGCCATATTACAATGGTTAATTTTATTGCTCGCTTTTATTGTTGTAATTTTGTGAAATCTTCGCCTGCTCTCTTCTTTTTTTCGCTGCTCCTGTTTTCTTATGTTAAAAAACTTTTGCAATTGTGAGCGACTTTCTATCTGCGTCTTCATTGTTGTGTCTGTGTGTGCGGGTATAAAAATTAGCCTCATTTTGTTTGGCTTTTGTGCTCTGCCTGCCATTTTGTGGAAATGCGGGGGGTGGCCCTGCAGTAAATCAAAAGTTGAAAATTATAATAAAGTCACTTTTGCTGTTGCTATATCATGAGCCACCCCGCGCAGCCACCCATTCTATCTCCATCTGTCTCTGCTCAAGTTTTATCAAGTTCAGTTGCAGCAGCCACAAAAAACTTATTTCCTCCTGCTGGTGTGGCTAATAAAAAGCCAAAACAATTTAGATTAACTAACTGTAAATTGTGTTATTTTGTTTGGCCAGTGAGTGGATTTGTCGTCCTTGTTGCCGTTGTTGTTGTTAACGCTCTTTTAAGCTGGTAATTTGTGAATGCCCTGAAAAGTAGGCAACACTTTTGTGAGCCCAGCTAAAAAGGAAGTCTATACAAAAGTACACCCAGTTACAAATGGTAAAAATCATATTGTGAGGGTGGCGTGGAGCCGACCAGCAGCTGCCATTGCGATAAATAATGCTTGAATAATTACAAGAAACATGGACAAGCTAATTTTGAACGAGTCGAAAAATATGAATTGAGCTAAGGAACAGAGGTTCACTTCACAATAAAGTAACAAATACGACCAGAAGTGGTAAAAAAATTTAATTTAAACTAAAACTTTCCACCTTGAGAAGCCAAAGTTTTATGACCCTTCTTAATATTCTGCAGTAAAACAATTCAATTTATATTGCCATCTCAATTAGGTAATTAAATTTATATAAATGTAATATAAATATAAATATCCTAATTTAAAATAACTCTTCAAAATGTAGAAGAATGATTAATAAATTCCACTAATAAAAAAAATAATAGTAAGCGCAAAAAAATCATATTCGATACTCTCAAAAGATCTCTAGTTTTGTCGCCAGCTCTATTAATTTTATTATTGCGTTTATGTTTAATTATCGAACTCTTTAAACGGCCCTTGGTAGTTTTGCATTTGGAAATGGGGGTCTTGACTTCCGTCAATTTCTTGGGCTTCCTCCTCCGAATCTCCGACTGGCTTGTTCTGTGACATTTGGCTTGCTTTCGGGGCTGGTCCTTTGTCTACGAAATCGGTTGAAATGGCCACTCAATGCGCTCTGTTAATTTTGCTCCACAAATGAAACTGGGACTCTGCGCAAGGGCTTAGGCCGAGCTATCACTAAATGCGCTTGAATTATTTATAAAAGGCATATTCATGAGCACTGGCGCACTACTCGCAAGGTAAGTGGGTGACTGTGAATCCGAGGGAATCGGAATAGGAATGGGAATGGAACCTGGGGAAACGGAAATGTTAACTAGTTTGAGCAGAAGCGATGCTGCTTGACAATGGCATTAGAATGTCGAAAAGTTTTAGCCCGGCAACCGCTTACTCACTCAATTAGCACGGTCAGCTCTCAAGCTTTTTATGCAAATCTCGGTGGCCGGGAAAATTCGTAATGGGGGCGTGGCAATGAGAGCCATTAGATGGTACATCAACTGTACATTAACTTGTCTGTTTTTGTTTCATTAGCAAGGACAGCACAAGGGGTACACCCAGAAAATAAATGCCTTAAGTTTGGAAATATATTTAACAAAACTAAAAATAAGCCGTTTTATATGTTTAAATATATTAAATAATACAATTCATATTGCTCAATAATATTCTACTTATAACAACTACTTTATTTAAATAAAAAGGACTACAGTAGATATTGAAGTGAATATATATGTTTAATATAAATTAATATTTAATTTTTTTAATAATAATAATTTGAAATTAATAATATTGAAAATTCGGTTGTTTTTTTTATTTATTTCAAATTTTAATTTTAATTTCATTATATTTCAACACATTTAAATGTTTCTCTATTGTTAAACATTGTTACCTATTATAAATAATTGTTAATCAAAAATACTAATATTTTTAATATTAATATTAATTTATTTTTTGTTGAAATTACTCAACTCTTACCCGTCTTCCAAGTGTATGAGTCTGTAGTGGTAGGTGTAATACCTAGACCATATCCTGCGGCTTCTTAAGTCTCAAGTCCTGGCAACTTGACAGCGGCAGCCTCAGTCGGAGCTGCAACAGCAGGAGGCGACCACAAGCCTTTAACAAAAGCTGGTAAGGACCAAAGGCGAAACCGAGGCAGAAATAATAGGGAACAGGGCGAAATTGCGAGAATGTTATTTGGCTTTTGCATATGGAACGACTGATGATGGCACTTTCAGTGGATTGCCTGAATATCGAGTGCGTATGAAAGATGAAACGCACGAGGCAAAAAGGAGCAATAAAATAACAAGAAATATGGCCAATCGATGTATCGATGGCCGAAGGTGCACTGAAAGTGCAAGGTAAATAACCAAAGAAAAGGACAGGAAAAGAAATGAATGGAAAGCTGACTCAACTTTCCGGAGACCTGGGAAATAATTAAATTGTTTAAGAGCCTGTGTCAGCCTGATGAACATTTTGTATAATTGGATATTTATTAATATTTTTAATGGAGAGTTTAAAAAAAAATTATGGACCTAACCAACTTTGTTTACTTATTAATAATTAATCTGTTTGCTTAACTTGCTATATCGATGGCGAAATTCATTTAAATGCTGTAATTTGTTGATCAATCAAAAAGCGAGTGGCGTTTTTGAATCTTCACGCATCGCTGACAAAGACAACATCGAAAATGAATGGAATATGACGTTTCTGGCGGACATCACTCAATCTCCCCTCGATCCGCCGCCCACCACCCCCTTTTGGCTTTGTGCGTGTGACATATGCAAATATTTATGCATCGCTCCTTTGGCTTCGCTTTTTCCCTCTCCGCAGCATTCGCGTTTCCCCTGTACTGTTGTGCATGAAATTATGTAAATTCTTTGGAGACGCCATAGAGGTCACAACTATAAAACTTATGATTTTTATCTGCCTTTAAATATAATACTTAAAAGAGTAATGAAAAAACTAATACAAATCCACTATAATAAAACAAAAAAGTCAAATTTATTTAATTTATATTTAAATTAGAATGTAAAACCTGTGAGGTTCTATAATTTTGGACATATCTGTGTTGGTTTGTTAAAAACAAATACACTTGCACAGTGGCAAAGGCAGGACCATAAAAGTTAAGTAAATATATAAACACACATCGGCTTACGCTTGCCTGCCTGTCAGCCTCTTTATTATTGTTGGTTGTTTGGTGTTGTTATTGATATTCGTGAAAATATATATATTTATTTATATATATAGTCATACATATATATCTGTGCCGCACACACGTAAATCAAAATGTTTGTAAGTTGAGTAAACAACATTGAAAATCAGTTATGTTTTACTGCATTATAAACTACCCAATAAAAGCCGCGTCCACTCTTGACCCCTGTGCACTTTCTCCATAGGGTCGAAAAACATGAATTTCTCTCCCATTTTTTTGCACTGACCTTTTGGGTAATTTTTACGATAAATTGCGCGTGAATGATGCATAAATCAAATAAAGTTGAGGTGTACTATATACGAGTATGTATACGGCTCTGGCAAATGTATCAACCGAGTTAAAATTTACATAGCATTCTCTTTGGGTCCATCGAGCAATGATGAACATGAGAAGGCAGAGAAATATGCGCATGCATATTTAACCACGATTTAAGTATAAATTTCATAAAAATTGAGCTTTCGGCAAAAAATTTCAATTTGGATTGACGGAATTAAGGGGTTTAATTTGACAGGCCAGTCAAAGAGATTTGTATTTAAAATGTAACCTAAAGGGAATATATAATTTGTTAATATATTAAATACCTGGATTTTTATGATTATGAATGTGATTAAGGAAACATTATTGCAACATGATAATGCCATTAAGGGAGGATTCTCGCCCAGGGCGTTAGGAATGGGGTTTCTAATACTTTGAAAAATGCGAAAGTACAAGAAAGCTTATTTCGATATTTAGAGTAGTTCTCGAGGTAGAAAATTAAGTTGAAATTTTATCGTAGCTCCGTCTTAAAAAAACTACATACAGCTCCAAAAAAGACCTGATTAAAAATGGGCAAAATGAAAGCTAATTAAATTATGAGTTTCCCAACGCGGCCATTTTAAACATTTGTTAAAATATATTTTTTTAGTGCTTTAGTCAAAAGTATACTTAAAACCAACTTTTTCTTTTAAGAAGCTCCCTTTTTTAACGAAATATCAAATTTAATATATTTTCATAATCTTTATTAATTTCTGAGCTGACTTAATTTTTGTGGGACTTACGAGGGGCGGAGTAAAATTTGTGTAAGTGTAAGTGTAGGGGTAAAAGTGTATGAGAAAAACGCAAAATAATAAAATCAAAACAAATACTTTTTAAGGCTGCTGAATGGGAATACGATTTGATTAAACAAATAATAATTACTTGAATTTAATTAATTATACACAAGCTCACATTATATGTGTATACACTATCTATGTACATTAAATATAAATTTTTTCTAATTAAATATAACGGCTTTATTACAGTGGCTTTTTATTTATCAACATAATCCATAAATGTTTGTCGTTTCATTCTGTAGGATCTATTCGTTCCCGGTTCATATGAAAGTAGGCCAGAAAAAGTACAAAGACGGCTAATCCGATGAGTCCGCACCAGAAGGCGAAGGATCCGCCATTAAAGCCATCGCGGTAAACCTCGCAGATGTCGCCGCCAACAATAAGATTCAGCTTGTCCTTCACGCCAGGTGCTCCAGCCATGTAATATTTTTCCGGGTCCCCAAATTTGAGCAACAAATTTTGAAACATTCCAGGAGGCCGAGAGTGATGTGTGGGCCAAGGGCTCCTGGGATTGGTGCTACTCGCCGCCTGCCGAAAAAGTCGCCTAACAATGATGAATCATCATGGCGGGCAACAGGATGCCTGCAACATAATTGAATTTAGTGCTAATGATGGCATTGACGATGGCACATAATATTCGACATTAATTCAAGCAGACATTAATTGATTGATTATTTGATTGCATTATTGTCAATATCACAATTGCATTTTGGTCGCTTCGCTTCAACGGGTCGCGTCAACGCGTCGGCCTGTGTATCTGTATCCTCGATGTCAGTCGAGCCTGACACATTCGCGATATTGAATGTTTGTCATGGGGCAACAACATTGATAATAATAATTTAGCACAATTTACATGATGACAGCCATAATTAATCGATGCAACCGTGTTTGGAAACAAGAGTCGATTGTATATCTTTGAATTTCAGAATTGGTATTAAGGCTGAAAATTTAAGCGGACTTTAAAAAACATTGTCAGCTTTGGGAAAATAAAACACCATTAAATAAACTACAAAATAATATTTACATAATAATAAATATTTATTTCAATTCGTTCTGCTAACCAAATTTGTAAAAATTAAGATTTCACTTCCTCCCACTAACCACCTTTCCATTCTAATTCACTGGTATACTTGTAGCAGGTGAATATTTGACTTAAGAGGCAGATAAAACTTACATTTTCCCAAAGAAAAGTAGAAGGGAAATATTTAATTTACATTTAACTTTTCGTTGCGCCCTTTCCACTCGGCAATTATGCTGCCCGGGGAGATTCTAAGCGAAATTTTGTGCGCCCTGCAATTATACAAAAATTCATCTTGGTCTCGTTTCTTTCTCGCATTGCATTATTCATGGGCCGGGGCTAAGCAAATTAAAAGCCAGCTTCCCCGGCCCAGCTGGCCAAATAATTGTTTGAAGTTCGCTCTCGGCCTGGCCTGTAATCTGCCGCAGTTTTGGCCACTAATTTCGCCTTGAGACAAAACCGCCTACCAGAAAAGAGTACTCCGCAAGCACTAAGCTCAATTGAAATTGCTTCTGAGATGGGGAGATGGGGAAAAAAGAGAAATGCTTGGAATGCCGTAGAGTAATTGAAATATTGGCAGCGAGCTCAACTCGTAAATTATGCACTCGAAGCCAGGAAAAAGAAAACCAAGGAATACCCACAACCGTTCGCTGTGTAAACTAAAGATAGAGAAAGAGCCAACTTTCCCTGAGATTCTCTTTAATTTATAATTTATCAGTTTTGTGCTTTTGAAGCTGTTTTTGGCTGCCCAACAAGCAAACTTTGATTGCGGTAATTAGCAAATTGTGCAACTCCCTCAAGGGCCCACGCCCCTCTTACTTTTTCTACCTGCAAGGCAGCCAAACAAATATATTAATTGCGAGGAAAAGTTGAAATATAAGATTGCAAAAATATAAGATAATATTTTATTAAAAAGTTTAACCTTACACCCAAAAGTTTTGAAAGAGTTTTGTTTATTTTTTAACATATTGAACTCGCAAAGTTCTAGGTAAACCAGCTTCATAAACTACAATTTATTTTTCTCGGGCAAGTGGGAGGCCAACTAAAGTCTGGTGAAAAGGGTAAACCAATTTGCCAAAGATCCTGTGAATATCTGTCTGAATATATGTATGTATACCGCACAATGAAATTGCCTATGTGGCAATATAGTTTCCTGCCATATAGCTCCTGCAGCAGGACACCATCTTTTTCCTCTTTTTTTGCGACGCCCCCCGCCTGGCTTTTATTATTGTTACTTTGAGGCTGCCACAATCCAAGGCCCAACCCCTGCTGCTTTTTTGCCAGGTGAAAACCTAAGCTAAGCAAACATACAAAAAAGTGTTAGTATGCTCAACGCGACTCTCGCCACCATATAGCCACCCCCAGCCCTCCCTTTTGGCCATCACAAAATGTCCTTTTAGCAGAGGACACACATGCGTATGTAAAAATTTCCGACGTGATGTAAATTTCTATTGAATGCTGAATGGGCAGAAAAAATATTTTTAATGGTCTTTTGGCCAGCCAAAGCGAACGGGATCCGGAATCCGGGAACCAGGACCCGGGACAAAAGACCAGTAACCGAAGGCCCATCAGAATGGTCGACATTTGAATGAATTGTCGGTCGAATCGGTGGGACAGGTGTTATCCTGTGGTTAGGCACCCAAAACTACTCTACATATGCCAACTGTTCAACGACCTGTTTATTTGTGGAATAATAATCAGGAATCAAACTGAAAGCTTGCAGTTTGAGATGGAAACAAGCGTATGCAGAAGGGTTTAAACGAGCAAATAAAGTTAGGGTTTCTGATTGGTTAGCATAACTACCTTTATGCTTGTTTGAAAAGATAGTCTACACATATTGGAGCTTATTCGATCAAATTAGTTTATACACAAAAAACACGACGCGGTCAAATCGATATGCACATGTTAATTTCTGGTAGTGCATACGCATATCGTTTCAACCAAAATCTCTCTATCAAAGATTCTCTGACTTCGAAAAAGAGAGGAAGAAAAAAGCTAATGTTGTGACGCATAAAGTTACATAAGTGGAAGGGAGAAAGGCGCATTCGAAATTCGAATTGGCCTGTTTCTTACATTACAAAGATATCGAATTTAGGTGCCACCATATTAAGTAAAAATTAATATATGATATTATCATCATCATCGGTCATTGTTTTTTGGTGTACTCTTATTAACCCACTATTTAATAAAATTAAATAACCTTAATTATTCTTGTTGAGAGCGACTCTAAATGACAATTCAGTTTACTTCACACCATTTATTTAAACTAAGCTTTCAAAATTAAACAAACTCTTAGAAATTTCCAATAACACAACGATAATCCTTTCCAAAATATGTGCATTAAGCGTTCAACCAACTTCATTGCCCTATTTGAATGGAGAACAAAAACACATGTCGGCAAATCTATCAATGCCAAAGCAGACCAATCAATTAATCTGATTTTCCCCCCGCCACTTTCCCATTTCCATCACTCAAATAACACTTTAAACCATTTACGTTTTGTCATAATTGCAAATTCCGTTATCAGATCATCACGAATAAACACAGGCACACAGAAAACATGACCTTTATCAAATCAAACTTAATTCCCATGAAATCCGCATCAACTGCGTGCAACATCGTTGACCTTGCGCCCCATGCAAAGCGGCATCAACTGAAAACCAGTGAAAATTCCACACAATAACAGCACAAATAAATCGAAAAAGATAGGGCAAAAAAGAGAAACACAGCGTGACATGTCATTATTGGGGCTTTGACAGGCAAATTCCAAAATTCAAATATTCCAAATCGATGCGATTTTGCGAGGGGGTGGATTTGGGGGATCAGTGTCCGTGTGTATGCGGTGGAACTCTGAGGAAATATTTGAATATGTATGCTGTATTGTATTTTTGCATAATTTGGCATGTAAAACATTTACAACAACAATGCAATACGAGATGTAAAACGTGCAGTTGGGTCAGAGGAGGAAAATTATGGAAATATTGCATCATGTGCCGCATGCCAGGAAAATTGTGCGGCTTTTCTATTTTGATTGCAGTTGATTGTTGTTGCGAGCGGAATACCCTCGTGATTGTGGCTGTCGTAGATCATCGGGTATATGGTTTTTTTCTGCGGAATTACATTTAAATTGCATTGACCTGAAAAGCTAATAAATCCGCAGAGGACAGACACCAGTGATTTTGTTTTAAGAGGTGGTGTATATAATAAAGTGTACACTATGCAATGTATGTATATAATATGTACTTTCACGAGAAGTTTTAAAAAATCTTTATAAATTGTGTAAAATTGTAGAAGAAAATTTAAATTTGTAAAAAAGAATATTGAAAAGGGTATGAGTGATTCTTTGTGAAACGTATCGAGATTTTCTTCATGGTCTCAAAACGATATCTAATTTTTATGATACTATCACACCATTTAAAAAGGATTTTTAAAAAAGTTTAAAAAAAAATTCATTTGACAGAAGCCAAGATATGGCGTTGCTATTTTTTTGTTTAATTCATTTCTAATTTTAAATTACGCGGGATAAAAATTAAATAAAAATACTCAATGATTTGTGTATTGGGAAAATTTAAATGTCTTCAGCGAATGACTATCTTTTTAAAAGAGTTTGCTATTAGGTGTTGGAGCAATATGATGGTGCTTTTGAGAACGTGGAATGGTCTTAGCTTGGATGTAAGGTGTTGCTAACGTGTTGTTCTTCCTTAGAACTACATAAGTAGCAAGAAGTTATTGTCCCACGTTGAAATTGGTAGGGATTTATTTGTTATACAAAACTGCATTTTTCCTATTGGTTTTACCTAAATGGGAACGGTCGTTCTCCCGGAATTCATGAAGAACGAAACTGTTCGTCTAATATAATTTAATGTATAACAACGAAGGACTGCTTTGTTTTTTAATGTTTTATTAAATTATGCAGAAAGTAATGGAGGTCCCATGACGAAACTTTTAGGAGCCAACAAGAATTATGTATAGAACATTATACTATTTTTTTATAAAGATTAAAAATGCCGATTTGCAGAAAACCGCGAATGAAAATTTTTTTTTAAGTTTGGACCGTATTTTGCATTGGAACCATTATGGTTGTTATTTTCATCTGAAAGCTTGGCAAAAATAATAATTTTTGAGTATTTTTATTTATTTTTTATCCAGCATAATTTAAAATTATAAATGAATTAAACAAAAAAATAGCAACGCCATATCTTCGCTTCTGTCAAATGGATTTTTTTGAAACTTTTTTAAAAATCCTTTTTAAATGGTGTGATAGTGTCATAAAAATTAGATATCGTTTTGAGACCATGAAGAAAATCTCGATACGTTTCACAAAGAATCACTCGTATAGAAAAAATTAATTCACGTAGTTACACTTTAAATATTTAAATAAAATTTTACATATAACTTTATTATTAGGTAGCAATAAAGTTGTACACTTCCCTTGAGGCAATTGCCCTCGAATATCTGGGATGTAACGG